GTGGAAATGATGATGGATGAAGAAAATCAGAATCGGAGGAACAGTTTGGAAATTGTGGGGAATCGGCCGTCGTTCGTGAGGAGGACGATGCTGTGGCTGATGGGGAGAAATAGTAGAATTGTTCATTCTTCTTTCACACCCAATGATGTTTCTGATTCTTCATTTTCTCTGTGATTCATTGGGTTGTTTTTTTTCAAGCAACTTTAATGGCGGATTGAGTGAGTGGAAATATGTGCAGAGTTTGTTTGTGGATTATGAAATTTTTGGGTATCAAACAAATAAAAAAGTTACCTTTTCTATGGAGCAATTTAGATGTTGAATTTGAATCCATGGGTGTTGACTGTTGGAGAGGGATACTTTTTTAATTCCTTGCTGGTGGCTTTCATAAATCATAAGCCAATTTTGGATCGTTTTTAATAGTAATTTTTATTCCTTTTGCAAATTGAAGTGATAATTTTGGTAACCTAGGTCCGCAATGGTAACCACATATTAAATATCTGTGGCCATATAGATATGTCTGTCTATTTTCATGTATCCATAGATTCAACTTCAACATGAAAGATTAACTTCTCATCTTTTTGAAGATTTGTGGTTAAACTATGAACCTTTTGTATTAGACAAACTATTTTTGTAGTGTACGTTTTATTTTTCTAGAAATATTCATGTTATTTAGTTTTTTTTTAGGTACAACAAAACAAAAGAGGAAGAATTTGGACTCATGATGTCAATTACCGCTTAGCTAGTTCATATTGACACATTATTTAGTTGGCTTCACATATTTGTTGGTTGAGATGGAGCATCTTTTTACAAATTTTATTTTTTTGCTGAGTTTGAACATTTTTCATATAGTTTTTATGATTTTATTTTGAGTTTTTATCGGATGATTTTTTTTTCTTCACATGATCTATGGACAGGTTCATGAACAAATTTTCTTATTTGGTTTTAAAGAGTTATTACGAAAATTTATACACAGTAAAGTGTTTTCTTAATACAAAACAGAAAAATGTGAATAGCCAACATTAACATAACTCAAACAGTTAAAATATATCTGGATCTTGGAGATCCGTGATATATATATATATTTTCTTTTATAAGGTAATATTTTGAACTTTGAATTGAGAACTGAGAATATATAAATCCAGCTCTATTAATGGTCCATTGGCAAAACGAAAATGCAAAGCAATAATATAATAGGARGGGTAGCTGTTGCATTAATTTCTTTTCTCCTCAGGCATTAATGTGGTGATGTTTCAAAGTGACAATTGGAGAACAGTTGGAATGGCCTATAATTCTGGTTTTATTAGTCCCACCAAACTTTTCTACAACACAATAAATAACAAAAATCCCCATTTTGCCAAATTTTACTTCATAATTCTTACATCATTTTGACCCCCATCATAGTTGAAATAGTTAAACATTTTTAAGTTATTTTCACTCATTTGTCTGTGTAATATTCTTTAAATTTTTATCATATAAATTTGCATCAAAATATTAAATTTTCATCGATATGTCGACATTTTCATCAATATTTTCATATGTACATGAATTCAACATTGATGTAAGAGGTGTATCAATRTTTCCACYGTGCATTAAAAAATCGACAAAATATTAGAAAATATCAATATAATATTATTAATATGTACGTAATATTAATAACAAGAATCCTGCACTTATTTAAAAATGATAAAATATTAATTATTTAAATCTTTGGTTTGTATAATAGTAGTGACTATTTAACACGACATAACTTTTTTAGAGTAGACATACATATGTATTTTTTTAGTACAACATGTAGGGGTGAAATTTCGAACCCACGACTKTATGAATTGAAATATGTACTTTAATCAGTTGAACTATTCAGGTTGGTGAGTAGAGATATGTGGTAGATGCGACAAAGTTTTCTTTACCTGGTTGAAACTCTTTTGTATGCGCATCCAAATATAATTATCTAATTATTTCTAGGGTTTTTCAATCTCAGTTTATACCTTCTTCAACTTCCATTTTCATTTTTCTTAAATCAATAAATTAGTTCAGCCTCAATTAATTAGTCGCTTACCGCCCTAACTATCATTCATCTTATTTTATTTCTAGATGAGATGTACAAAATTTTAAATATAAAAATTAATTAGATTCATAAACTTGGGCCAGTGACAAATTGTTCTAGCCAAGTTAAAWTTTCCATCTAAAAAAAGTAAAAAARTCTCGAATTATTCTTTATTTTTTCTTTCTAACACARTCTCCTTGGTAAAGAAAGTCTCAAATATGCCAAAGCGAACATAACTCAGTAATAATTGATATATACCTCCAACCAAGAGGTTGTGAGTTCGAATCCCACCACGATGTGATGTACTAAAAAAAGAAAGTCTCCGATATGTAAKGAAGGGAAATTCTTTGTAACTTTTTGAGAAAAGCCTATGTAACCATTTTCTTTCATGGAACAATAATTTATGATTTATATATAAAAGTTTATGAGTGTTATTGTTAATAATTGCCGGATCATATAGTTTTGTGTGTGCAATTTACCTTATTTTTATTAACTAAGTGGTTGGATGTGTTTGAAAATGACGACAACAACAATTGATGAGTACAAAATTCAAAACTCCACAAAGTCTTAATAATGGTCAATTTTAAAGGYATACGTGTGTGGAAAATAACTTTGAGATGGAGATAGGAAAAAAGTTGGAAGGGGATAGAATTATTTTCTCAAAAGGYACATTTGGAGAGAATCACATCATAACCATAACCATATAGTGAGACTTATAAATGCATGAAATTAAATGTGTTATGGGGGCGAAGCGCATATAATGCAAACTAATAGGGAAAATGAATAAATTATAGGGAGTTTATTAAATCAACTTTACCACATTCGAACACTACTCGAATCTGCCCACCTAAACTTAGTTTAACGGGTTAAGGCACATTTCGGTGAGTTCGAATCTTTACCTCCACGTAAAAATACAAATAAAATCTAAAAATAAAATGTAATATATTCAAATTGACAGTGTGTCATTAACCATCCTTACATAAGAGAGCAAAATTTTATAATTTTTAGTTAGACAAACCTAATTATAAAGTCGAGTATGGCCATGGAATAGCAAATGAATGGGCATAAAAGATATACCTCATGTACATATATGAAAGCACATGGAATTTTAATTAGTTTATGCAACTTCCTATTCACTTTCATATGCAAGCGTATGATTACTCTTCGCCACTTTGGATATGTATACATAGATACATAATCTATTATATTTTAAGATGATGTACAATGGAAGGGGCAAGTTATTGGCCCTCCCACCCCCTTGAGTCAAGATGGGATACTAAATCTTTATATTGGTGAGTGTCCAAGCTAGCTTACGTGCACCTTGACTAATTCTATATGACAGTCACCTCAACTAGGATATTCACTCATCTTAGGACTTAATTCCTATATGTTTTTCGACACTAATTTCAACTTCTGAATCTCGATTAATTGAATCCACCGCTCCTAGTATTATTTCAAGACGTTCAGTATATAAGCCTCTTCAAACAGGACTTATTGCTATTGATTCGATGATTCCTACCGGACGTGGTCAGCAAGAATTAATTATTGGGGACAGGTAGACCGATAAAACTGCAGTAGCCACATATACGATTCTCAATCAACAAGGGGAAAATRTAATATGTGTTTATGTAGCTATTGGTCAAAAAGCATCTTCTGTAGCTCAAGTAGTGACTACTTTACAGGAAAGGGGGGCAATTCATAACATATCTTTAGCGATAGTATAGGTCGATACTTTCAAAGTGAAAAGAAAAAAAAGAGAGAATCTCTTGGATGACACATTCACAATATAACAATAATATATTTCTATCGATCAGATATCACAAACCCTTTAATATACTAATAGAATTTTCTTTAGTTATTTTAATATAAAATAAAATTTATAAGTTCATTGAATTTGTTCACTACTTAGGTAATAAATCTAAAAAAAGATCTAAGCTCATTTTACCTTTTAGTCTCTTTGGACAAATGAACCAGTCCACCCATAATGGTTAAGGTGAGACTAAGTCATGTGCGACAATGCAAGTGAACATCATAACACTGTTATGAGTTAGGTTTTAAAGTCTCATAATTTATAAACATTTTATCGTTCATGAATAAAATATATTTGATTATTATGTTATAGTATTATCTATTTTTGTGAAAATTCAAGATTATTAGCATAATTTTGGATAATATCTAGTTGACATATAAAAAGATTAAGATGGATAGCCGAGATGTACCTACTTTGCAGTTCTTTCTCATGGATAGAGGATACAAAATAGGACATAGCCTAAAGAAAGTATTCACTAAAAATCATACTTAAAATTTCATTTCTTGCTAATGTATCCCTTCTACATTTCGAAATTTGTGTAAAATCAATAAAAATAAATGAAACTTATTGGTTTATGTTTATTAATCTAAAATTCATATTACCCATCCAATTAATAACCCAACATGAAATATTGTATGAATAATTCAACGTACATAAAGAGAGAAAAAAACAAAACCCAACCCACGAAAAATTAATTAATAAATAATTCAACTCTTATTACTTATATGACCCATTTTTTTCTCCCTGTTTTTATCTCTAATACGTGGGGTGGGAATTTGAATCTTCACATTGCCCTAACCAGTTGAACTATGCTGAAGTTGACTATTTATGTGTTTTTTTCTTCTTTTGAAACCTATAAAAAAAATATATAAGTTAAAAACACATTGTCGATATAGTCTATAAACTTCAACATATCATGATTATCTCCATAGTTTAAAATTTATAGAGATTTAGTCTCTGAATTTGAGTATGTAACAACTTAGTTTATGTAGTTCAAATTTGTCATGATGTGATCYCAAATGTGAAATTCTCCATTGACGTACACTGAAAATCTCTTAGATACTTCATACGTATATTTCACCTTGATAGAAATTTTCAAATATTTATATATGTCAACATGTGAGATGGAGATTCTATCTTCTAAATTTTTTATTRATGATATATGTCTTAATCAATTATACTATATTTAGATTGGAAAATACTTGGTTTCAAGAAGAACTTCCTTCTTAAATATTTGACAATTAAAGAATGAGAAACGTAAGAGCATATATTTTTTCAAAAATATATATATTTAACTTAAAATATACTAAACATCACTCATCCCTTTTTCCTAAATATTTCAATCCCACGCCACTACAAATTCAATATTGTTTTTTCAATCTTTCAAAAAGAAAAAAAAAACTTTTTTTTTTAATAGAAAGATTGGATTGAAGTTGAACTCAAATTAAAAAAAAAATTGATATCCCAAATATCAAAAGAGCAAAAGAAATGGCCCTACTTCCCCAAAAGCCCATGGTTTCCATTTCCATTTTCTCGAACTCATACATCCATATCCATTCCACATCCCAATTTCCCAATTTCCCAATTCCCCAAATTCCCAATCCTCTCTCTCTTGATTGCGTCTGTTTTCCTTCTTGACCCTCGATTCCCTCCCCAAATTCCCCCAAAAAATGCCTCCTCAAGATTCCGCCGCCGCCCACGGCGGCGACCTGCCGTCCCCCAAACCGGAGACCAAAGTCCTCTCCCTSCTCCTCAAAGTCCTCATCATGATCCTCTTGACAACCCTCTTCTTCCTCTTCCTCGGCCTCGCCACCGCGCTCCTCCTCATCCACCTCTGCGTCGCCAGCGCCCTCCACCGCCGCCGGCGCCACCGCCACCGCCACCGCCGATCCCCCAATTCCTCATCTGGGTTCTCCCCCCGCGACCTCCAGAAGCTCCTCCAGTTCCGATTCTCCAAGCCCCACTCCCAAATTGACTGCGCCATTTGCCTCGACGGCTTCCGAAATGGGCAGTGGTGCAGAAGACTTGGTGGGTGCGGCCACGTTTATCACCGAAAGTGCATCGATTCGTGGCTGATTAGGGTCCCCGCTTGCCCCCTTTGCCGGAGCTCCGTCCGATTGGATATGGAAGAATCAGAAGAAGAAGAAGAAGAACATCGATTTGATTTTGTAAGTTCTCAGAACTATGAGATTTTGTATGCTCTGTAACTCAAGTTTAGTTTCTTCTCCTTCTGCTTCTGGTTGTTTCCCCCCTCTTGAGATGTATATATAGTTGGAGCAAAAGTCTGAAATGAAGCTTTCTTTTAGTTATATGTTATGATGGTTTGGTTCTGTTTTGCTGACACTGCTGCTATGAGAATTGTGCTTGTGCTTGTGATATGGATTTATTGTTGCTGAGAGATTCTAGGGAACTTCATTATCTTGGAGAGTTTCTGAAAGTTGGAAAGGAGAAGAGGAGTTTCACAATTTATGGACATTTAGAGGAAATAATGTTAATAGTGTTCATTGAATGGGGTTCAACGACTACCTTTTAAGCATAGGTGGTTAAGATATATATTCCGAAAGATTGTGAGTTCGAATCCTCCCTCACTCCCTCACGTTGAGCTTTAAAAAGGGTTGAATTTGATATGGGTTTTACCTGAAGAAAATAAGAAATAGGAAGTTCCCTTTGGATGCCTCTCCATGTAGAGGAAAACTTTGTCACAAAATATTCTATTCTTTTATAGAGTTGAACTTCTTTGTCACAGATATTCGAACCTTTTATAGAGTTGAACTATGCTCGTGTTGATTTGTTTTAACGAGTTGAACTATGCTCGTGTTGATTTGTTTTAACGAGTTGTGTGGAGAATGTGGGATGAGTTGGTTCGAATTTGTGGAGTATATTGGTTAGTTGGGTTTCATACAACTCGAAATTGAGTAGTCACAATGTTAGTTTGCTTGCAAAAGTGGTGTGTTGTGAGGTATTTGACGAAGTAATGGTCAAGTTTGATTATTGAATGGAATTATTAGCCGCCTTAGATATTTTGGGGGACTTGATTAAAAAAGGGTAACCCAAGTCAAAGATATTTCTTTCGTTTCTTTCAAATCAATCAATCGATTTTACCAACCTTACATGAGAGAATAAATCTCCATGTAGTTCTAAAGTGCACTAAAAGAAGTCATATTTTCCTTAATCATTGCTTAATTAATATAATTTCAAATATGTTACTGAGTTGTCACTTGCACATAAAATTTGTCCCATCTATCAAAGTCCATTTCTTTCACGTGACATGTCCAAGTGTTGTAGCCTTGTGTGACGAACAAGGCTGTGTAGGATTACAATTTCGTTTTTAACTTTTAAAAATTATGTTTTTCTTTTCTTATGTGGATGAAATTTGAACCCTAGTGGACAATAATATGGCGGTTTCATTACGATATATCGAGAGAGAGGCAAACATCGGGGTTTTGATGTACCCGACTAGATTTGTTGTTTAGTGGAAAACGATTTTTTAAATATTAAAGATGGTTATTAAATGGGGTCTAAATTTTTTTATTAATTTTTTTTGTTTAAGGAATGACTTAATTGATAATTTTAATAGTGAAATTGGGAATTTTAAAAGGGACGGAATCGAGAATTTTATTTGATATTGAATGATTATAAGGTGTATGATTAAGTAATTTATTGTAATCTATAAATGTTGGATACAACTTATTTGAGCTTAGGAGTAAGAAATGATATTAGTTCTAGAATAATTTTCCAAATCATGTAAAAAATATAAGAAACGATCGATGAAACCAATTCATTATCGATTATTGCATTCAATGTTCCAAATGACTGCAAATTGGGCCTGATTTTGGCCCGCTGGACTTAAAAGGCTCCACACATGTCTCGGCCCATAGAATAATACGAGGCCCAATGGGCTAACCAGATCTTTTTGTTCTTAGAGACTATTTTTCGAAAAGGCTGAGACAATGAGACTGATATAGGGTTTTATACGRTTAGTTGTATGAAGGAATAAATACATGTATTTTGAACTTATATAAAAAATTATTAGGAAGCATATAGATTTGGAACCAACATCCAACAGTTATTAGGAGGTGGCCATGTATATTTTTTTCATTAACCAACGAACACACTTCGTCTCGAATAGGGATGATCGTTTTTCCTGTGGGGACCGGTGGGAAGTCTCCGTTTAAATTCCCTTTCGATGCGGAGATGAGGAAAGTTTTTTTGCTTGTCACCTAAACGGTTCCAGGTTCGGAGAATGCATTCCCCGTCCTTGTTTCTTATTTCTCGCCTTGCCTCACTTATATATACGTATATGTATGTGTGTGTGTATATATATATACACACACTTAAAAAGAATCTTATTATTTTCTCTATATTTAATTATATTAAAAAAATCATATTCTTTTCTACCCACCTAATACGGAGAGGAGGATTGACCATGGTAAATAATTGAAAATTAAGAAACTAAATAGAAGTTTCCTTATAAAAATATTTAGTTGATAAATAATTTTAAAAATAAAAGAATAAAAGAGGAAGAAATTAAAGCGAAGAACCAAATCCTCGTGAAAGTACCCACAAAATTCCCCTAGTATTTCGCAAGAATGGGGAATTAAATGAGGGGTGAGGGCGGGGATGGGCCCGTCCCCGCCCTACCTCAAGGACATCCCTAGTCAGCGGATTTTGGACTTCTCCTTAAAATAATATGAGTTCGTTTGGTAACATTCATGTTTTCTGTTTCTTATTTCTTTATCAGTTTCTTGCTTTTTGTTTCCTTTTTTTTTCACACAATATTGAAAACCTTTCTTCAAAATGATAGACAAGAAACAGAAACAATTACTAAACGRTTTATATTTTTTGAAAAGTAAAAAGAAAAAAGAAAAAATAAGAAATGGAAACATGGTGAGATGAGYCCTATTTGATCTAGGTTTGGGTGTGGGAGTGGGACAAAAATGCCAAAAGGCTGCGGTTGTTACGTCCCATTCACATTACTATTCCCTTCTTTAATACAACTCATCTCCAAATGAATAAAATTGTACATAAGAAAAATATGTACGACCAAAAAAATAATATTATTGAATTGCTCCTCAAATTCCTCCATAATTCATTTTCTGTCTTTTATTATATGTTTCATGTAATTTATTTTTAACATTTTTGTGGATATGGCTAAGTTCATAATATTTTTTTTWAAAAAAAAGTTTCTAACTTAGTTGGTCTTTTTAAACAACAAAGGAGATAATGGAAATTTAAAATGGTTGTTTAATCCATTAATTTTTATCATCAGTTGAGTTATCTTTACCGGACACTTTTTATTCAAATTTCATCGTATTTTATTTATTTCCAACAAATATTACTTGTCGGGTTTAAAAATCACTAAGTCTACCATCTTTTAAAATATTAGAGTAACGTTATCACTTACGTGCTCAATTGGTTAAAACACTTATCTCTGAAAAAACAAATTATAAGTTCGAACCCAGATCTTAAAATATTGTACTCAAAAGAAAAAGAAAGTTAGTGTTTCTTTATGCAAGGAAAAACTTTTCAGTCAGGTCGAACTTGGACCAGCTAGAGAGGGGACCAATGTTTAGGAGTGAAAATCGTACTACCACGTGGAAGACAGAGAAAAGTCTAACTTTGAAGATCTTCCCTTTGGTGACCGAGCTGAAGATCTTCTGTTTGGTGGACGATCTGAAGTGCCCGACCTGAAGAGAGGGTCGATCTTATCATAGCCTTGCCTAACGGCCGATCTGAGATCTTCCCTAAAAACCATTCAAAGGAGGAACGACCTTCTATACTTAGCCAAATTCCAAATGACAAGAGTACGAACTTGCATAGCTACTCCCAATAGGCCGACCTTGGGTCCCGACATGCTCAATCGCTGGTTGRATTTCTTGTCAGGTACCTTAACCTATAGGGCACTTCACTCTTCAGTCAGGTATGGTATTCTAGTTCGGTCTSCATACTAAGRTCGGACACAAAACTGACTTGAGCGTCGGAGTGTTTGTTCACTTGTGCATGTCTTTTCTCGCCAAGGGTCTTTCAGCTCATTCACGACACTTCAGCACATTCCAGTCAGCTTACCTTGACCTCTTGAGCTGGTCATTCATTCTCAAGAACATTCAAACTCTTCCAATGGTCATACTTAGAGCAGGTCATACCTTTGATCAATTTTTTTTTTCATAAACAGTATTAATAAAAATATTATTCTTATTTATTGACTGTGTTCTTTTCTTCCAATCCATCCGATATTATATTAGCATCTCAACAGGATTAGTGGATAAGGTTGAGACCTTGATTTAATTTTTTAATTTTTTAATTTTTGGCATTCATATATCTCATAGAAGATAAGATTTTCTGTGAAACTTCAAAATGTCTCTCATCAATAGACAAGAGAATGTCCTACAAACATTTCTACATTCCCAACATAATCTATTAATTTCCAACCTTTCCCATGTGAATCCCACGTGTGCAAGCTTATGATTCATTGGATTATCTTTTTCAAATTGTTCTTCCAATTATTTTCCACTTCCAAAGAGCAAAATTACAAATAATATTGAAGGAAAATAATGTATCTTATTAAAATGGTCAACATTTTGATCTTTATATATTTAGTTTTGAAAGTGACAATATATTATTTAATTTAACTGGACTTTGGTTGGTTCATGGTTGTCTTTTAATAAATTCAAAACTAGAAATCGGTATATGTCTATTTTAATTTTATTTATCTTATTCCTTTTATATTTTTCTTATTTTCTGATAATTTAAAAAAAAATAATTTCTCAAGTGTTTGGACTATAATATTTTATAAAACAAAGTTTGACATCTTGCTTTAAGAATGGTAAACAAAAAATGTCTTTGAAAAATTTGAATTAATACCATTTGGAACTTAAAAAATGTCTCACGACATAGTACAATCAACCTATACCCACCAACTTAGATATAATTTAACTAGTTAAGACGTTAATAATCTCCTTAGTCAAAAGTTCGAATTCAAACCTTTGCCCTATTTGAAATTGAAATGAAAGACCATTTAATTGTAAAAAAAAAAAAGGAAAAATCAGATTGTCTTTTGGGAATGACATAGTTGGAGGTCAAGCCCGATGCTGATGACTATGTTGTTCAATTTAACTAACAAGTTCCGGTTATAGGGATCCATCCGTAAGTCACGTGACATCGATTCGGAGAAATAAAAATAATAATAAGATCGTATTAACATTTTATTAATGATATTAATTAAGTTATTAACAACAACTATTAAATAAAATAAATTATATAAAATTTTAGTAGGTCAAGTTAGGCAAAACGATACTAATAATATCGTTAATCTAATGAACATGTCACATTAAAATTTTATTAATGAGATTGTCAATCTGAGCATAGCATAATGAATAAGATACTTATTATCGCTTAGGCAATGATTTAATTCACCACCTTGTAATGACCTAAAATAACATTTCATCAATGGAATAAATTAAACCTCGAATAAATAGAAGCGGAGTCCAATCTCTACAAAACCAAGAGAAAGAGTCTCAAGAAAGAGTCACGAGATTACGACATTGACTTAAATAAAAACATAATTACACGTCTAAGAAATTAACAGATAGAGGTGAAGAATCAACCAAATAGAAGAAGAAGCATATTCAAAATCCACGGAAAAGTGCGAGAAAGAAATAGAATTACAATCCTATCTCTAGAAAGTAGAAACTAAGAAAAGAACTTTAATCGATTAATCTAATAAACATGTCACATGTCACATCAACGTATCTACATGACATACAAAATTGAACAAAAGGGAGGAGGAGTATTTCGTTAATGTTAAGTAAGATAGGAGAAAATTATTGTAAAGAGCTGGTGAGAATTTAAATCACACTAATCACCCAATTTCACAAAACAGCCTTAGCCTAACCACCAAACCAAATCTCTAAAAAGCTCATGAGAGACAGAAATTTAGAATCACATAATCACTCAAAATCATTTTCTTAAGTTTAACGTTCATGGTGTTCTTCAATTCTCTTCTTGATATTCTCCACTGCTCTCTTCTCCTGCTCTTCTTCTACATGATCTTCATCCTTCTTCCTTGAGACTCCATTAATGGCTAATTTCTTGTTTGCTCTCAGTTTCAGAGCTTCCAAAACTTTCCTCATCGCTCTTCCCTTCTCCCTCCTGTTCTTGATCAAAATCTCACTTATATCAGCAGGACTCATCTCTGCTTTTTCAACGCTCTCTTCCAATTCACTCAAAGTCGTTGTTCCATCCAAATCTTCTTGTTCTTCATCCCAATCCAAATAATTCTTCAGAAGAATCTTCAGCGCTGGAAACGAACAGAAGCTCATGAAAATGTGCACGTCCATTCTCCCGCTCCTCAGCAATGCCGGATCCAGCTTCTCGATGTGATTCGTCGTGAACACGAAGATCTTCTCGCTCCCGCAGCAGGACCACAATCCATCGCTGAAATTGAGCAATCCAGAGAGCGTGATTGAATTTCCCCCATTTTCGCACACCGAATTCGTCACGTTCATCTTCCTGTTCGAGAGTTCGATCGAGCAATCGATGTCTTCGATTACGATGATCGATTTGGGCGTCGTCTTCATCAGAAGCTTTCTCAGCTCCGAATTGTTCTGAACTTCCGTCAACTCGAGATCGTAAATGTCGTACCCTAGAAAATTCGCCATCGCAGCGATCAAGCTCGATTTTCCAGTTCCAGGAGGTCCGTACAGAAGATAACCTCTCTTCCAAGCGCGTCCTGTTTTCTGGTAAAACGAATTTCCGTTAGCGAAATCTCGAAGATCCTCCATAATCTGCCGCTTCTTGATCGGATCAATGGCGAGCGTTTCGAAAGTGCTCGGGTGCTTGAACGGCACGGCCTCCCACGGATTGCAACCCGTGGAATCCAACGAACCGCCGCGCGGATTCGTAAACAGATACCGATCTTGATTCTTCCGCCTGATTTCGTTCGCCTTCTCCACAATGTGATCCAAATACGCGTTGAGAATCACGAACAATCTGTCCTGCTTTTTGATCTTCAGCGTGAAACCTCTCTTCTCTTCCGGAAATATCCGCCAGGGGAAGCTCTGTAACTGCCTCGGCGTGACGATGTGCTCCCACTGGACGGCGACGCCGTCGAACTCGTCGGCGATGGAGTCGTTGTTGGAGAGTCCGAAAGCGATGGCGGTGGAATTGAGCGGCCGGCTCAGGCTAAGGCGGGTGGTGGCAGAGCCGGCGGTGGAGACGGAGGAGCTGAGGTAGAGCTGGACGGCGTTGTAGAGCTCGTTGGTGTTGACGCCGTCGATCTCTGTAATGTCGAAGTAGGCGTAGGAAGAAAAGCAGGAGAAGAATCTGGCGAAGAGTTTAACAATGGCGACGCGGAGCTCGGGAGGGAAAAGTGTTTGAAGCAATGTCTGAGAGAAGGCGAAGACTCCGAGCAGAGAGGCCATGGTCGACCAATACTCCATTTTCTTTCTCTGCGATTTCTGTTTGGCGGTGGGGATGGAAGTAAGAAGTGGGTGTTTGAGGAGAGAGAGAAAATGGAAGAAGGCAAAGCGGGAAAAGATTAGTTGATGGATATAAGAAGAGAAGAGGAAAGCAATAGAAATGGGGAGGGAGAAGAAAAATACCACGTGTAGTTTACGAAAATTTTAACCATTTTTTATTACCATGAATTCGGTGCCTCATGGTGGATCGAAGGTCCTACGCCACTTTCACTCCCATCTATCTTACCTTCAATCCATCTTTAGGTATCCCGAAATCCTTCATCCCTCACAGCTGTCTCTTATACACATCTTCACTCCAATCTATCTTACCTTCAATCCATCTTTAGGTATCCCGAAATCCTTCCTCCCTCACAGGATGAGTGAAATCTGTACGGTAGTTGTTGATCAACTTGATATTCTCGACGATGCCTATATATATACCAACGTGAAGTGGAGAGACCCCTTAAAGCAACAAGCGAGAATGGCTAGGTTGATAGCTGGGTTAAAGAAAAAGGTGAGTATGAAAAGACTTATCGTGTAACTGTTCCTGTAAGCTGTATGATCTATGAATCGACTTTATAAAAAAATCCGTTTTTCGACTGAAAAACAGTGTCTGTTGGGTCTGGATACATAATGTATGTAGTCATACTTGGGATTTCCCAGAAAGATATGCTATTTATTGGGCCGAAGCTTCGGGCTTGTTCACCAAAACATTCACTGGATTCAATAACCCAAGCCCAATAAGAAAATTATCCCTACCTCTAAAAAGACATACCAATACAAACTTTATCTCATAAGCCAAAAAAAAAAAACATCTCCCATACTAAATATATGTTCCAGTCCTTAATATTTAGATTTTTCTTTTCAATTTAGTCTTATTGTTTAAAAAATGTTAGTTTCTTATATTTTAACATTTATTAATCGTCATTTTTATCATTTAATATTGCATGACACGTAGTGAACGGTAAGAAAAGTCAAAATTTGACCTAAAAAATAAACAGTCAAAATATTTAACAATTTCTTTTAATTTTGAGGACCATTCCTTTCTTCGATGCTATTTTCCTTTAAATTTTAAAACAATTCATAAGTATCATGTCATGTCATGCAAACTTAAAGTAACAAATATAGCCTCAACTTATTAACATTAATTATATAACATACAAGTCATTATCTATTAGATAAAATTTTAATTTAGTTGACGTGGTATGATATACTTTCTATCGAACTATATTTTAGTTGAGTTGCAGTAGACTGTTCAAAATATAGAAAAAAACTTTATAAAATCTTAAAATAATTAATCGAAAATTATTATTATATATGACAATTGAGGTGGAGGAAGGAGATTTTTAATCTATATTCTCGCCCGATTCCTCAATGTGGAAAATCGGAGAATCCTCACTCAAGGATTAATATTTTTTTTACTTGAAATCCAAAAACAAAATGGAAAAAGAAAGTCGTATTTCCAATTTTCCCTCCAATTATATCTCCAAATTCAACAAGGAAAAGACCTTCAATAAAAAAATAAAATAAAATCTATAAATATTCTCTTCCTCTTCGCCATTCATAAACAACCACACTCCCTCTGCCTCTGCCCATTATTCTTTATTCAGCGGCGAAACTTCCGGCGGCTCTTCCACAACCTCCGTCGTGTTATTTGCTTCATCCATCTTCTCCGATGTCTAACACCGCCGCCACCTCAACCGTTGCCAATGTAAGAACAAATTCTTATTCTAATTTCTTTTAGAATATTTCATTAAGATTTCTTCAAAGATATTTTAAAATGTAAAAGCAACGTAAATAGAAGCAATTTTCTTAAGATCAAACTATCCTTAATTATTGTATCATTTACATTCGTATTCGAAATCTTTACTAACAAACAACATTTTTATTTTAGATTTTCCATTTATAAAAAGTTCCCCACAATTCTCTACTAACATTTTTATTTTTTTTTCCTAATCTAATTTACATTTATCAAATTCTAACCTAACTTTTAAAGAACTAATAGGAAGTAATTTACCTAAGATTTCAAATAAAATGAAAAAAAAAACTTTTAGATTCAAATTCTTCTCCTAAACTTAATTTTTCCAACAAAAACACCGCTGATTACTTCTCAAATTAAACTAACTCTAGTCTTAATAATTCCACTCGTTATCCCAAAAGAAAAAAAAAATTAGATCCTACTATAACTATTTAATATATATATATTTTTTATTATTTTAAAAGTTTTGCTTGATCACTCATACAATTTTGGTATGTTTCTACCTTACTTCAATACACACGTTTTTTTAATTTTCACAATTTTGCTTAGGTTTTTAAAATCTAGATGTTCCTATTTCCTTAATTAACATTTGAATCCCAATTTTTTTTTAAGAAATAAAGTTATTAAAATTTATTGGTTTGTTCTTGTTGTTCTTCAGGAAGAAGCAATGGAGAAGGAAGACAGACATTTAGCAGAGGACATAAAAATCGAAATCCTGCAACACTCATCTCTAAGATCCATCGCCAAAGCAAACTCAATCTCGAAGCTATGGCGGAAATTGATCTCCACGAACTCCCTTCTTCTCCGCAGCTCTCGCCCCTCTCTGTGGCCCCCTCCTCTGTTCCACTCCTTCTTCTTCCACTCCTCCAACATCCCCAAAAATGGCGTCCCAATTCACTCCTTCACCACT